CAGTTGCATGTCACCTGTAAGCTCTCGAACCTTGATCCCCAACCAAGCGAGACGTTTCCCGAGCTTCTCGGTAACTTCAGCGGCCAGGGCCTTCATCGGAGCAACGTAAATGATCTTGAAATCCTCCACCTGAACCGCGAATTCAGTGGCTTGTGGTTCCTCGATAGGATTCGGAATAGTGTTCTTTCCAATGGCGTTTAGGATTGTGAGCATTGCAGCGTCCGTTTTACCAGCACCAGTCGGGGCACAGATCAGCATGTTCTCATTCGTCTTGTAGGCTACTTCATATAGTAGACTTTGCATCCGATTGAGGGTCTTGTACCCCTTGAAGGTGCCTTGACACAATCCATCCAACGAGGCGATCTCCACGAGTTTATGCCCGGGTCTCAGAGTACCGACCTTGGACGCGGGAACCTCAACCTCGGTGTACTTCTTCTCATCGATTTGCTTACTGCCCAGTGGCAATCCGTATCTCTTTCCTCCAAGCGCAAGGACATTTCTGGACTCGTGCAGTTTGAATACATGAGGGTAATGCGGTTCCGATCTCGTCTGTGCCGGCATCAATGACGCATGCTTGTGTTCGTAGTCCGCCTGTCGCAAAGCTTGCTCTCTTTCCGCTCTCGTCATAAGTTTCCCAGCCATCAAACCATCCGTCTGGGCCTCTGGTCCGGTATGAGAGCTGGCGACAATATCCGCCCTGTGAGCAATCAGGTCAATCACGAAGTCGAGGTCATCGAATCCCACGATTTCGGCCAGTGACATTTGCAACTCGTCGTCTCCGCTGTCCGTCGCTAGTGCGGCAGTGATTTGCTGCGCTAATTCTCTGGCATCCATACCCGACTTGTTAGCAGCAAGGCTCACGCACTTCTGCTCAAGCCAGAGCTGGTCGTAGCCGGATGATGTCGGTGGAGAGGGGAGCTCGTCATAGTCATCGAAGTCGTCGCTAGCCTCTTCATCAGAGCTGATAATGTCCCAGATATCATCGTCGGCAGTTCCGGGCGATGAATAGTCCTCGTCGAAATCCAAGTCCAGGTCGCTTCCGTAGCTTGTATCTTTGGCGGGGTCTTGGGGAAGCTTCAAGTCCGCAATGGCCTGGCGCATGGCTGCCAGCTGGGCAAGCCACTGGGACTCGACGGATCCGTTGACAGCCATTATGAGGTTATATTGTCACAGTTTGGTCCCCAAATGAGCCGAAAATCAGTGAGAATAACGGACCAGCCAGACTTGAAAATGACTAGCAAGCGGAGTGTGGGTGATCAGATTGATAATGAAGCACAACGATCATCCGGCAGAATAGTGACCGCCCGCCGCTTATCAGCCTAACCGGGTGTGGTCTAGCCCGGTCGGTAGGGAAGTATGCGGAGAAGAGCAGGAGCGAGTACATGGCCGACGACATTTGTCTTGGATAGTCAATTTGCGTTCAAGTGTTAATCGCTGTTTATAGAAGACTACTATGAGCGATTCAATCTGAAGTTCTTATTGCGAAGCGACGCCACATAGTATACAAGTTGTGTCAACTTAAGATGAAAAACAGTGTCACGCTGGTTATATAAACTGGTCACTACCACTTGTACTCCGCTGGCAAGTGGTCTGAAAATCTGCTACAACTACGAATATCTACTACTAGTACTACTATTCATAAGTGACTGAATACCAATAACTTCTGTTACATCATACCTAGTATGACAACTTATACTAATACTAGACAGTAAATCCTAGTAAGGGCGGAATATCCTTGCTTGTCATGAGGCATTTGCAAATCCTCCAATTATCCTCTATTCGATTTCGCTGTCTGTATTTCCTTGACTCCTGAGCATGTCCTTTCCCCAGGGTTACTCGATGATGTCTCAGTCAATATCCACACATGAAAGTTCCAGACTTGAAAGGCATCGTTCCACAAGTATTGATTTGGGCCTATGGCAATGCTAGCTTCGATAAACAAGCGCGCCGGGGGTATACCTGCGTTTGCGTAGCAGCTGGCTTGCTCCTCAAACAACAACCGTTGCGTCATCGTTCAGCTGAATATAGAAGGGGTTTAAGTTGGTGATTGGAGCGAATGCATTAGATGATGAGGACACCTCAAGCGACTCCATAGGAACCAATCATTAAGATGAGATGAGTAAGCCTGCTTTCATGAACAGCTTGGAACTTCATCATATGATTGGGATAGACTGGAATTGGATGTGCCAGGGCCTTTAACAAGCACGGCGAACGAAGTGACCGAACGGGATGAATATCCACGGGTTATGTTTCCGGACACGGATCTCGAAGCCCATGTGGAAGATTGATAATTCTCCGAGGCACCCATCGTATTAAAAGATCAATACCGAGTAATGTCTATCGAATATCATGCCTATTCAGGCGGAGGTAGCATGAGGACGTATTCTCGGGTACTAAGGCCAAACTGAACCACATCCTTGTCCCGCAGTTCCACGTACCGGCCAGCGGGAATCGCGTCTCCGTTCACTGTAGTGCCATTGGCACTTTCCAGATCGATCAGATAAGGCTTGACACGTCCGATCCGATCTCCGAATTCATTCCGCTTCTCAACAAAGCGAAACTGCAGCGCGGCATGCTGCTTAGAGCAACTTGGATGCTCTAGAGGAAAATCCACCACCAATTGTTCTTTCCCAATCAACCAACAACTGCGTATGCCCAATTCCACCATTTCAAGGAGGTCCTGCCCTTTGAACACGTAAAGTCGCCACGGTTCCTTTGCTGGGGGTTTGCGTGCTTCCGGGGGCTCGTGGTACTTGAGAACGACAGAGTTACCATTGACATTCACAGTCTTGCTCTCCGCAGCCAATCGCCCAGTTTGACCGAAATTAGGCTTCTCCTTCTCGGGAGGAGGGCCTTCCGACTCTCCAGTCCGAGCTACTTCAGACGAGGTATATGCATCCTGCTGAGGAGGTAGGGGCGCTTTTGATCGTACTGGGGCGCGCGAGTCCGGGTCCGGCGAGCGTCTTGTGGGCGAGCGGGATCGCGAGTAGTCCCGTCGTCTGCGAGAAGACTTCTCCTTTCTTTCGTGAGAATCTCGGTCACGGTGACGACGGTATGAAGATTCTCGGTCGGAAGTATGTCGGCGTCTTCTCCGGTCATCGTCTGAGACATCCTCCTTGTCCCTGCGCTCACTGCGCCGACGGTCATAATCTCTTCTGTGGCTTCTTCGGTCGGCCGGGCTGCGGGATGACCTCCGTCGCGAGCTGTCTCTTCGGGAGCTTCGATGAGATTCGCGATGCCCCGAATCGCTGCCACGGTCGTCGTCACGGCGTCTCTGTCGCCGATCGCGGTCAGGAGCTGGTGAGCCGGAGGGGGATCGGTGCCGTCTCCGGCCGTGATCGTCGCGTGAATCAGGCATTTTCTATGCAGCGGAATTATATACAGCGTCGACAACGGGGATGGGGGTAGTTTTCATGCGGGAAGCTTTGGAGCTTCGGAGACCCGCACGTGATGACCTCATGTGGAGATCCGAACTTCGGAATTAGCGGGATTATTTGTATCAACGACCAGACAATCCCGTTCAAACCCCGGTGCTTTCTACTTTGCCATCGGTCCAAGACATTCCGGAGAGGTCTTACATATCTCTCCATGTGAAACCATGCGGCCATGCTCAAGAAACCCAACATCCTTTGCTGTGGTGGTGGACTGCAGTTACTGAACCACCCATGCCTGTCCTCGCCACCTCGGTCTCGTGCTTTCCCCTCACAGTCTCGCTATTCCGCCAGGCGCTATGCCACCGCTTCTCACAACCCAGAGACGGATCTCTCATGGCCGTCTTCTCCCACTTTCACCCCATATGAACTATTTAAACAAGATCGGACCGCACCATATTCCAAGACCCGCTATTATGAAATGGTCAAAATCTACCATCCGGATCGCCCATGTAGCGGACACCCACTATGCAGAGACCTCACACCCGAAGTGAGACTTCAGCGATACCACATCCTAGTGGCTGCGCATGAAATTCTATCTGACCCTAGTAGGCGGGCAGCCTACGATTTCAGTGGCGCGGGGTGGAAACTCCATCCGTATGAAACGCCGATCCCATCCTGGGCTAGAACGGGCTCCAGTAACTACGGTCCAATTTACGCGAACGCGACGTGGGAAGACTGGGAAAGGTGGAACAATCGTCACCAGGGAAAGCAGCAGACTCTGGTGGACCATCGGACCTTCGCAACATTCGTTATACTTCTGACACTGATGGGCGGAGCGCTCCAGGCGTCTTGGATTAGCAAGCTCAGCAGCGGTTACGAAGACCGGCTTTGGGAGCTGAACCAAGAGTCATCCCGCCTTTTGAAAGGGCGCCGGGAGAACACTCAGCATCAGATGCAGTCGGTAGATGCAAGGGTCCAACACTTCCTTATCCGAAGAGACCCGTCCGGGTGTGGTTTGAAGGAGGAAGAACAGCCGGTTTATAAGCAAGTGTTACATTCTCAAAGAAGCTCCGACGACTCACCTGCGGAGATTGTTGGATCGGAGAGACAGGACGGTAGGGTCGTACAAGATTCAGTCCAGGCGGAAACTAGCAGTTGACATAGATTGCATGCGTAGCTAGTTCGCGGGCGCTGTAAATAGTATATAATCTTTTGGTTTAACGGAGGCCTGGAGTTTCCATATCTGAACTTATGCCCTGGAACATGCATGCATGGCAGTATCCTACATACCGAGATTTTGCTGTAGCTGTATCCAGCTGTTTCCATTATGACTTGGAATGGCTGCAGGATTTGATGTTGTGAGCAGGATCAAGAGACTCTGAATACGATTAGCTGAAGTTGATGTATTTCTCATTTGTGCTGTCCAGTTGGTGGAGCGCGGAGCAGAAGGGATGGAAGAGTCCTTCAGCTGCAGGCATATCCTGGTAATCGATATGATTCTATTACGTGCACTTTCATGGAAAGCTAGAGACATGGTAATACAAGAGAGAAGAATCTCTACTACTACTGATAATCAATCTCATCACTTATACTTCTGAACGTACACGTTTACGTAATACCCACACAATGAAGCCGCCAGCCCCAGCACGCCTCCAACAAGTTCATATCCCACTAAGTGGAGGAGGACATGAGCCTATAAGTTCCCTTGACTCTCAAAATGTGGCATACGACCTAGACCATGAGGCGATCCAGGAGAGCCTGTTGCGATTCTGCTCTGATGAATCATGGAACAACAGCTCAAGATCAGCCTTTATGCCTCGGCCTATTCTTGTCTCCTCAGAGCACCAACGCCAATGGAAAGAGCTTAACAATGCTTTAGTCGCTGCTATAACTGATATCGTTGAGAGATGGTGGACGGACTCGGTGTCTAGATTCCCTGACCGGATGCCTCTGGAACCTGCAGAGGAGGACCTTCTTCGTGTATGCTATATTCCCCATATGGTGCTTTATAAGAACCCTCATTACTAAATGATACATAACATAGTGGATTGATACTCAAGTTCCAAGCAAGATACCTCCGTACCGAAAGTGCCGCGGCTCGTGGAGACCGGATTTCCTGATCGAAGAAGACAATGAAGGGGCACCGGGTTCTGTAGAGAACTTTCGAATCAGTGAAATTAATGCTCGAGTTTGTTTCAATGGATTGATGTATGCAGCGTCCGGACAACAGGCATTGGAGGAGCAGGGTATTGCTGATGGAAGTAATGATTGCGTCGGTGCGACGGAGCCCGCAAAAGTAAGTTATGTAAATCATGATACTGGTCATTGAGCGGTACTATGCAGTAGCTAACATTACGACCTGAATAGATGATAGGCGGTATTCTGAGTTTGTTCGATCCCAACCTGCCATTTCATCTTCTCAAAGGTGATAAACATGGGATTGACATCCACATGGTTGTGGAATTGCTCAAGACACGCTTTGGGATCAGCCCTCGCTTCGTGATGCCAACTGATCTCAGGATTGTGCCAGACCAAGAAAACAAAGATGATTACAGACTCTGCTGCGTGGCTAGGGAAGCCGAATCTCAGGAAACTGAGCGCTTATCGTCACTGATCTATCACAACGGAGAGGCTCTAGAAGAGATCCATCAAGTCGGTCATGAGCTGCACCAGCGAGAACTCCACGCTCTGAGTCCGGAAATGCTCCGTCAAATCAGCCTCAGATGCTTCAATGACATGCGCACGATCCTGCTGGTGCATGACAAGCGGATGATGGGAATCATCAAGCAGGAACCCGAATCACTGGTAGAAAGAAACGTTATTACACCCGCACAGGCCAAGGTACTCAGCGAAGGCATTGCTGATACGTTAATTCCTGGTTCGGCGGAGCTCGCTCATTTCATTGAGCACTGCAAGAGCAATCCCAAGATGAAAACCGAGTATATCTCGAAACCCATCCGAGGCGGAAAAGGAGAAGGGATTGTATTTGGCGAAGACCTTGACACTGCGGAATGGGTATCAAGGTTGAAGGACTTGTGCCTCCCTAGGCTGGTTCCTGGAACGTGCATTGTCCAGCGCAAAGTCAATCAAGTTCGGTACGATGTGGTATTAGAACCGACGGGTGAAGTGGCTAGATATCCCCTCGTTGGGACGTATCATTCGATCCAGGGTGAGTTCCTTGGGTTTGGGGTATGGAGGTGTAGTCCGCAAAGGATCTGCGCTATCAGCCATGGAGGAGCGTGGACGTGCTCTGTCATTACCAGTGACTGATCTCTTTGTCAATTAAAATGTTTGTTGACAGTTTAGAGCTAGAGGTCTTGTATAGAATCCAAGGTACACATGAAGCCGAATGTGCTATTTAGGCGTAGGCAAGAAGCTTTAGCTCTAGGATGTAGCAGATCTGGACATCAGCTCTCGACCACTGAAGCTATTGAGAATATTCTGGATTACAATAATGACATAATCCACATTGCTTTGGTCTCAAGAAAAATTTCACTGTATGTAACTCGCCAATCGGAGATGCAGTAGAGAAGTACATTATACGAGTGTCCGGAGGCTTGCACCGAGAGTAGGACGGAACGTGGGGAAACACGAACTGGTGCTTGGTTTCAGCTGGGGCTTTCTTTGCCTCGGTTCGCATTGTCTATTATGGGGGATTCTATATGTAGCCCATGTTGTTCCTGTCTCTCCCGTTAACAGATCAGATAACTTAGATCAGCAAGCCGCGTTGCTTGTCGGTGCTACAACATACAGAGACATTCTGTTACATCAGAACAGTCTGAAGCCTTCACCTGCTTGCCTTTTTACTTTATTGTGTGTTTTCGTTTCTAAGGGACCTCTTTGTCAGGTTGTATATTGAGTTCAGGGCTAAGCCCAATCTCGTTGAAAATGCAGCAAGCAATAAGGGGCATCAAGCCCACTAGACCATTGGGCTCTACAGCTAGTAAGTCGACCTTCAAGCAACGGTAAAGGGAGCGCCTTCTGATTCACCCGATAAAAATCAGAGATATCACGCGCTGTGCCACATCTGGTCGTCCACGATCTCCGCCATGCAAGCCATCCCAGCCACATCACAGATGTGTCGAACACTCTCCGGCAAACGGGCATCCTCAAAGTCAGCCTGAAATCTGAGGGTGATTCCAGCCACTATCTTCAGCAGCTCATGATTGGTCTCCACAAACAACACGGCCACGGACTGCCCATCACCCACAGTGCATCCCGCGGCTGGTTCTGGGACATTCGACCCAACAGCACGACATCCCAAACCCCATCGCATCAGGCCCGATCCGAGACAATGGAGAAGTTCCCTTGGCACACTGACTGTAGCTATGAAGAAGCCCCACCCCGGTATTTTGCGTTGCAGGTCCTACGGGAAGACCAATGTGGCGGTGGTACTCTCTCCGTAATGAATGTCGGCAGACTGAGCTCCCTGCTGTCGACGTCCACTTGCACTGCTCTGCTCCGGCCCGAGTATCTTATTACTGTCCCACCCGAGTTTGTGAAATGTGATACGAAACGCCATGTTATGGGCGGTTTGATGGCCACGGATGCTAAGGGCCTGCTTAGTATGGTTCGTTTTCGCGAAGATATTGTCACCCCGTTGACTGCGGAGGCGGCGCTGGCGTTGCAGGAGTTGAATAATTGCTTGCTGGGACAGAAGGTACAGACAGAGACGCTGCAGCTTACGTCTGATTGTTTGCTCAAGGGGTCTGTAATCTTGATGATTAATTATAGGTGGCTTTATGCTCGGAGTAATGTCAGAGATCCGGAGCGCCATTTGCGGAGGGTTCGTTGGGATGCGAGACCTTTTCCTACCTCATTAAATGCTAGCAGCTGAGCAGTCTTGAGTAATTGACAAGGCCCGATGACAAAAACGTAGATTGTATAGTCTGCTTGTTTCCGTTGGTGAACCTTTGAAAGGAATTAAGCTTTTTCCTGAGTGGGCAAGAGGTCCGGTCGTATCTTGGAAGGCTGCGGGACGGACCTAAACCTCAATATCTCTTCCCCTTTTACCATCAATTGTCTTATTGACGCACGTGCGATCATTGCTACAATGAGCGCTGAAGAATTCCTGGCCAATGTTGAAGGCGGCATCATGCCAGTGACCTGTCATGAGGATGTCTTGCGGATTGCCTTCATCTATCTGCACGAGGGGCTGTGGACCGGGAATGGAGTATTCGATGTTGTAGAGAAGCTACACTCGCATGGCTTGTCCTTTGGTGAGGGCGATCTACGCTTTAATCGGTAAGCTAGTATTCCATACTATGACAGTCCCTCCAGCGCACTGAATTCATAATAATTTGTATATAACAGTTCCCTGGATATATTATACCTCGCACAGATAGCAGCAGCCATCTACCGCTATTCCTCCCAACTGGAAGAGGACGTTCCCTCCTTCTCTGATTTCTCTGCTTTCTACACAGCCCATCATTCCCTCCTGCACTCTTCTGCCTGGCACTCCTACTACTCTACCCCATTCCTCACCCAGAGCACTACAGCGCGCTTCTACCGCCTGCCCGACCTCCAGGACCTTCCCGACTCCTCCTCCCCACTATGTTAGCCGCGTCAGAGTCCGGCATCATCTATACACATTTTGCAACTCCCTCGCTGGGCCTACACTGTCGTGTGCACACACCGTAGGCAACCCTTTCTACCATTTGCCACTCTTACTTCATTGGCCCTCAGCACGCTGGAGGCAACTATGACACGCCGGCACACGGCCTACCCCAGCGCACCATCCTATTCGGAATCACATGCGCGCTTCTGGCTTGACTATTTTACTCCTGATACTTCACCACCATCTCGCGTGGCTGAGGTAACCCCCCGGCAAATGGAGGGACCCGACAGGTTTGGGATATTGGTCGCGCAGGGAATGTATGATAGACATGGGCTGGAGACAGAGTATCTTGCGCAAATATCGGGAGAAGAGGGTCCCGATGGAAATAGCCAGTCGGAGCAGGTGATATGGTGTGGGTGGCCGGATGGAGGAATTGGAGTGCAGGCGTGGTGGAGGGGGTGGGAGGGAGAGGTTGGGAGTGAGGAGGAGGTAGAGTTTCTAGCCGCTGTTGCAGTGGAGGAAACACTTGGATTAGGGCTCCAAGGAATTGATATCGATGAGTTGGACTTGTCAATCCGGTCGCATATACTACTAGCGGTCATGCATGCTACGGTGAAAGATAGGCAGGAGAGGGAGCGGTTCTTGGGCGAGCTGGGAAGGCGGATGGTGCAGGAGGGATTGATTGACAGGGAAAGGGCAGAAGGGTGGGTCAGAGAAGCCCTGGAGATCATGGAACCGTATGTACGCGAATGGCAGGGCGAGTGGCCTGGTGTAGAGGAGAGGGGGAAGATGCTGTGGCGCATCCTGGTGGAGAATGCGCAGCTCTTTGCACGCTGGAGGGCGTCACCTGCGTCGAAGCAGTTTACTTTTGAACTGGGGTCGAGGGAGTGAGGGATCCAGACTGCTTGCTTATCGAGAACATGAGGTTATACGGGGTACCTATAGTAAGCATTTCAGTTCATAATGCTTTAGTAGTAACCAATTTAAATGCAGAGGATACGGATTACCATGTTACAACGTAACGCAACCCCCTACCTGGATCTCGTAAACCCAATCTTGCGTACTACATACTTACAGCATATGCAACCAGCCTTGGGAAGTAGTTCTGTATTCTGTCTTCATCGGTCTTCGGAGGAAAAGAGACAAAATTACGCCAATCACTCGCTATGAAACCCCACGGTTAGACATATAAGGCACATTGAAGTTTTCGACTATTCGTTTGATTCCCAGCTGACTTGTCGCGATTAGCAGATTACGTAGTAAGTAGCATTGATTTCTGAACGGCGTTCGTCTATACCCATGGATGGCTGCAACGTGAGGGTAAAACAAACCCCTGTTCTTCGAAACCGTAATATTAGGAACTTCTATCTTTGTGATCATGTTCTTTCTCCATCGTGATGAGTACGAAACCATTTTCTTGGATGATGTTCTCGCAGTTGCGGAGATTCATCCGCTCTACAACCCTAATATACTTTACCCACCCAGCCCTGAGGAAATCCAGGCTACTGTGCAGGCACAACCCAGTACGAATTCTACTACTAGTAGCAACCTTGAAGCATGACCCCTGACTTCCAAGAAAGACCTGTAAGTCCTACCAGCTGTTAGAACATCTCCTCCGATTGCGTGATATACTCATGACCGTCCTACCAGTTACAAAGTTATCGAGCGATTAACCAAGGACACGAACCCCCAAAATGAATACCGGCGTAGCTCCTACGTCAGTGTCACCGGCGGCGGTTCCGGAGACATGCTATGGATGTTCTTCACCGATGTGAAAGAAAACCGTCAACATCGCGCAGCGTTTGGCGAGTTTCTGCTTACCTGTGGAGTAGTCGAGCCGCGTGATTGGATTTTGACAACGCATACCTCAGGGTATTTGTATAGGTAGGTTACTTTTCCAAGCTCGAGGACAATTGATTGGCAAGGATGAGGTTGACACTTCTCAACGCTGCGCAGATCACTTGACCTCCTGACCGAGATCCTGGAAAATGCAGGAGGAACCATATTGAGCGCTGGCAACCTCATGAAACCCAGCGAAGTTGTGCGAGCTCTCGCGCGATACAACGTCAATGTGTTGACTGGGGATAGCAGTCAAGTTATTCAGGTCATTCATCATATCTCGACACTTCCAGTAGACGAGCGAAAGGGGATCAAGTTAACCAAAGTGATCTACACATCCGAGCCACTTACCGACAGTCAGAAAAGATATATATATGCCATACTGGGTCCGGCAGTAAAGATATACTCTTTCCTGGGAAGTGCAGAGGCGGGACCATACGCAATACATAACCCTGATCTTACTCGAGAAGCATCATCATGTCAATATAGTAATGGGTCCATGGACTTTGTGTTTGATACCCGCAGCATCCTCATTGAAATTTTCCCTCATTCCGTCATGGAAAGTGATACGCCCTCCTCGGACATGAAGCCGCTTTCAGAGGGCGAAGAGGGTGTCATTGTGCAAACGTCGTTGCAGCGTCGATGGAACCCGCTTGTGCGTTATATCACTGGAGATCTTGGGTCCGTTCATACAGTGCCGGATATTGCAAGGTCCATTGTGCCGGAATCTGAGCCGAAGTACTTCCGCGTGCTCCGACTACGGGGTCGTAACCGTTGGTTTAGCTTTAAGTGGTATGGTGAGTATTTTGAATTTACTAATATTGAGATGTTTATGCAGAAGGGGGCGTTTGGGATTCTGCAATGGCAGATTATTGTAGGGACGCTGGATTCTTCGCCACCGACAACAATGGAGATTAGGTTGCTTCGTGCCGCGGAGAGTAGAGATTTGATATCTCTCGAGCAATTTGTCTATGAAGTGGAGACGTTCTTCTTTGTTTTACCGGATAATCGTCATTTGTTTAAGTTAACCTTTGTTGAAGTATAGGTGGGTTCGAGAAGAGCGGTACGGGGAATAAAGTTATGAAGTTTGTGGATAGGAGACACTTAGTAGTAGTATATTGAAGACATCATATTTCCATGATATCCAAGAACCACCCTAATAACTCCTCGGCAACTGCAACACCTTCTCACTAACATAATTCAAGATCATCTCCCTACTAACCGGCGCAATCCTGGGCACCAGACACTCCCTCAAATACCTCTCCACATCATACTCCATCGCATACCCCATACCCCCATGGCTCAGCACCGCCCTCTCACACGCCGTAAACGCCGCCTCAGCAGCCAAATACTTCGCACTATTACACGCCACTCCCACCGAATGCAACGGGATCGTCTCATCCTTCTTCGACGCATCATACAGTCTGGCAGCATGATACGTCGCCAACTTGGCCGCCTCCAACCTCATATACGCATCCGCCAACGGATGCGCAATGCCCTGATTCTGCCCAATCGGCCGTCCAAACACCACCCTCTCCTTCGCATAATCCGCTGCTCGCTCCAGCGCCGCATACCCCAACCCCAATGCCTCACCGGCAAGCAAACACCGCTCCGCATTCATACCATGCAGAATAATCCGGAACCCATCATTTTCCTGCCCGATGAGCGTGTTCGCCGGTACTTCATACCCATCAAAGAACACCTCGTTAGCATCGACAGCCCGTCCGCCCATCTTCTTGATCTTGCGCATGTCCAGTCCGGGCTTGGTGCGGTCAAGGTCGATGCAAAACATCGATAAGCCCTGCGTGGACTTGGTAACTTCTTCCAGCGGGGTCGTGCGCGCTAGCAGGATCATTTTGCTAGCGACTTGCGCGCAGGTAATCCAGATCTTTTGCCCTGAGACGGAGTAGATACTACTACCATCTCCGGAGGACTTTTTAGTGGCTAGGGTCTTCAGCTTGAGCGTTTCGAGGCCAGTGTTGGGCTCTGTGACGCCGAAGCATGTGCGCCATGTACCGTTGATGATCTTTGGGATGGTTTCTTCGAGTTGCTCGCGCGTGCCGAACCGGGCGAGTGGTTGTGTTGCGTACACGTTGGCGTGGATGGCTTGTGCGCCAGCCATGCCGGCGCCGGATTGCGTGATGGTTTGCATCATCATTGTTGCTTCGGAGATTCCTGGATGTGATGTTAGACATATAACACCGTGAAGAGTGGCAAAGGTTGGGGAGGATTGGCCTACCTAGACCTGCGCCTCCTAGTTCCTCAGGCAGCGCGATCCCTAACCATCCGTCTCGGGCTAGGGCGGCGTGGAACTCTTTCGGGTCGCGCTCGTTCTGGTCGCATTCTTGCCAGTATGTGTTGGGGAATTTGGCGCAGATGGCGGATACGGCGTCGCGCACTGTTAGTTGCTCTTCGGTGAAGCCTGTTAATTCCATTAATGGGCGTGCCGCGCTTGTGCTGAAGCCGCAGCGGCGGGATGGCCGGGCGGGTAGTAGGGAGGAGCCCGGCCGGAGAGCGCCAATTCGGCTGTGTTGAAGCGCGCGACTTAGTTGGTATATACGGGACATGACTGATTGGTTGTATGGATAGATTCTCGCATCGAAAATGAGTTGGTTTGGGAAAGTGGAAAGTAGATATATATAAGGAAAGCCGAAAAGGCATGCGATCATAGAATGCGGCAAATACCCGAGGGCCATATAGCCTTCTTGGTTCCTCCCAATAGCCGAGCCCGCATGCTGGATGTATCAACCTTAAGCTAAGTACTACCGAAATACATCAATGCGTCTTCAAAATTAACCACGAAAATTATGTGACCGACCAATAAGGAGAGATATGATCGAAGAATGAGAAAATGCAAGCATATACCATCACATCAGCTCGTATATGACACGGTGAAGGCCGAGTCACTTTGCACATTCACGTCCGTCAACACCTGGTCGCCCTGCTTCAACTCGACAATAGTCGCATCATCTACACCCCATGTAGACCCGCCACCTTGTGCTTGCACGCCCCAGAAGCTGATCTCGCCGAAGCCAGCCAGATCGACCATTGAGTCGCCAGATTGGAAATCCTCCACGATCCAGTCGGCATTCTGGCCGGCAAGTGTGGCTGTCGCAGCTGGGGCTTTGATCGTCTGCGTGGCCTTCTTCCCTGTTGATATGTTCTCGATTGTGGCTACGCCTTGACTTGGCGAGATGGCCTCCACTTTGGCGACGATTGTGTCACCTGTGCTCACATCCAGGTCGAAGTCGTATGCATAGTCTGGATACCACTCAAACCAGGCATCGTTGTACGTTTGCCCATTTTCCACGTAGAAGTCGACTCCTGTTTGGAGAATGGCGTTGCTGTATGTGTCGCCATCTATCCCGACCCAGGCCGATCCAGCCTGCGTTCCACTCCCCCCTTGCGCCGTGGGTTCTGGTACGCGAAAGGTTGCCGACACGGCTGAATACGTGCCTTGCGGAGGTGGTTGCTCGCGCACTGCGCCCGCCCAATTACTGCTGTAGGTAACATGGGTGGTATTTTCGTCGGATTGGAGGAGTCTGGACTCCTCTTTGGTGGATGTGTCAAGTGGAAGTGGTGCAAGAGGATGTGACTGGCGCTGCAATGACCGCGTACGGAGTCTGTCCTCCAAACCGGTGCGGGGAGCTGGAACCGCTAGGACACTGCCTGCGAGTGATGCAGTTGTCAAAAGGTAGTTTGTGAACTTCATTATGAATTGAGAGGAGAAGGAATTGTGAAGAGTGATGTACGACGCTAGTGGCAGAGGGTATCGATATTAAAGAAGGCAGGAGGGGGCGGGTCGTGTCCTGCAAGGTCATAGATGCACGACTTTATTATATCCCTCTAGAAGATCTGCAAGTCGCATGCGGATAGCTCTTACTTTCCTGCTTGTCACTAGATTAGGCAAGTTTCTCGACTAATGCCCCCGATCTCCGCGTGCCCACGGGGACACATAATCCATCAATGGAGTGTGGAGGTGCACGTACGTCACGGACCGAATCATCAAGAGTCTCCAGTGCGTATACAATTGGCCGTCGGACGAAAGACCGAACAAGTTATTTTTAACAAGGTTTTGCCCTGGCACCGATCTGCCTGGGACCGTCCAGATTTCCCAGACCCCAGCCGGAAAGAGTGGGTGCAGTGCGCACGTTTCCCTGATAGGTGCAAGACACCGAACAGGGCTTTCAGATGCAATAGGTAAGGCAAAGAACCGACGGAATAGGACAGGATCGACGACTGCTGAAGCTTCGGTGATGGCGTTGGATGCGTTGAGGTCTTCAGCAGACCGTATCACCTGCCATAGGGGCGTTGTTGAAGCATATAACATGACCGAATGCCTGATCCCATTGTCAGACATAAACAAATAGATAACTTGTCAGCCATGAAGGCAAATTAAGACTGAGCTGATCCGAAACATGGGTCAGCAGTAGCTGTCTATGTGGCTTTGTTGCAGATGGGAGGGTGACGAGTGCAGGAATGAGGAATCTCACATACCAATCGACACAAGACCCCTTCCGCTTCTGTGGCATGTCCGCGTGGCCGCTGAAAACATCCGCTCGGGGTTTGTTTGATCCCTTGGTGTTCTAAGTCTCTGAGTATGGCCAGATCTCCCTTGTTTCACTTCAAGGAGCTTTCGACTTGCGGTTCCTGCTCATACCGGGCTATGCATGGGTCAGGTTGGGTCAGACATCGCCTTATTCGAGTCTATTCACAGAGATTATAATAAGATACCACACTGAGTCTGTTTCTTCAGACTATGAGGGGGCAAGCATATAGCTCACCTACGTACCATGAGCTGTCGGGAATGTCGATAGGGTCATTCTACTTGAGCTTGTGATACTTAGGGTAGAACAAGGCTCCCGACATCCGCCCAATGAATGAGACAGGGAAATTAATGCGATCAATTGATCCATGTGAAAGTCGCCCCAAGAATGTAACCAAATGAGTTCTAGTCTAGTCTCTATCTATCGTCATGGGTATCATCAGATCCTCCATCGAGGATCAAAAACTCACTTTTACGTTCATTGAGAACGTAAGCACTGGGGGCCGAATGACAGTCATCTTTCACGAGAAGTCGATTAAATTATCGACTAGGTGCCGCAACGAACTGGCTGTGCGCGTGACCAACTGCCCTAAGCCTCCGTTCCATGTGATCTCCGAGAGTTCGTTCGAGAGTCGGATGGGTTTGAAGCATCTTCCAAACGAGTGGAAGTCCCCGAATCCTCATGTAATAAATATGTGACATGGAAAAGAAGCTGGCTGTTTGCATGTGGTCTACACAACAGTAGCTTGTTCGATGTTGACGCCACTATGAGTAACAATCCTGCGACTTCCACCACGCCCCAGAGCCATGGGCTAAGCTTTTGCGGAAGGATCAAAAGGATATCACGATTCGTTATTCGAAGCATCGACGGCGGCAGTGGTATCGCGCTTGAGGAAGTGGCCCTGAATCCAGCAGCGGTACATCTTCAGCTTGCGCTGACGGTTAACGATCAACCGGTAATCGACACCTAGCTTCTCGATGTCAAAGACACCCTTGATGTCAGTAAGGCTCTGTTCATCCTTGGCCTCAGCTTCCTCTCCTGTCGCAAGTGCTGTGGGCAAGCCCTTCTCCGGAGTCCATTGGCCCCACATCTTCTCAAGCTCATCGCGATCAAAGAAGTACACCCGTGTTCCATCACCACGAACGTAGAAGTTCTCGCCCATGTATCGATTCTTCTTGAAGCGAACCTGTGCCAAGTCGCCCCGTCCGTAATCGCGGAACAGCACATGTCCGCCGGGTTTCAAGACGCGGTACACATTACGAAGAGCCTGGTTCCACTGCTCTGGAGCCAAGGCAGAAAAGATAAAGATGAGAACGACGACATCGACCGACTCCTCAGTAAGGCCCGGAGGAAGTCCATTGCCGTTCTCATCCGGCTCCGCCGTGACATCCCACACATCAGCTGTCATATACTTGGGATTGTAGTGTGGACTCTCGCGCATGACCTTGACAGCAGTCTTGGAGAAATCACAAGCATGGACCATGAGCTCCTCGTTCTCGTTGTTTTCCAACAATGGGAAGGCAGTATTTCCGGCGCCTGCACCGACCTCCAGCACCACCTTCTTTCCTGCTGTAGGTTGAGTCACATCCGCAAGGACAGGGAACTCCTGGCGGAGCCATTTTCGGTTCTTGAAGAAGTTGGCTGTGTTGTTCTTGTAGAAAAGGTTCCACCACTTGGCAGGGTCGGCATTGAAACGGTTTCTGTCGAAATCCGAAACGGGGGTTTCGCGCTGCTTCGAATATTGGACTTCTGCGAAGGCTTTGAACTCGTCGTCGGGCTCGACATGGTCCCAGGCGTTGAACTCGAAGACATCGTCTCCTTCTTCCAGGTACCGGGAGCCGAACTGGAAGGGATCACTCCGCTTCTGATTGTTGGAGGGGTCGTGGGAGCGGTGCGGGGCAATCTGAGGTGGCGTAACTAATTGGAGAACAGTCGCGATATCATCGCTCGAAGATGCGATCGGAGCAGGGGCCATGATGAAGATATACTCCGGCTGAGGCCTGGAAAGATGTGAGTCCGACGAAGCAGGGTTTGAGCCAAGTAGAAACGAGACGCCCCTCGATAGAAAGTAGAAGCCGATAAGAAAAATTTACAAACTTTGCAAACACTAAGCGACAGTCATGTGATGTACGGCCCACGTGCATCCAGATACGATCCGTGGAACGGATATGGGGTGCGGAGTAATTAACCTCGCTTTCCAGGGAGAATATATGATTTCTTAACAATATTATTTGCTGTATTTGATATTCTGTAAATACACGAGACCATATAGTGAGGTCATAACAAGCAGCACTTTTGGTTCGTTTCAATTCGCCTATACAAAACAGTAGCCACGTGCGGTCCCAGACTCAAAACGACCCAAAATCATCCCAGATAGAGTAGCTGAAAAGAAAAAAGAGATTGATATAAGACACAAGTTACTTTCGAAGAATATATGGACGCAAAGAAGGACATATGGTCATATATGCCTTCCCGATTACTCGAGAGAGTCGGTGATACAGCCGTGGCTGGCATCCTTGACGGTTCTATTGGGTAACGTTAGCATCGCGTCTAGACATGAACCATAGATATGCATCGTATTGATATATGTGATGCCAGTTAGAGCCTGATACGTACCTAGCGTACTTGCCGAGAGTACCTCTGAGGGTCAGGCCGGTGGGAGGGAGCTTGCCAGCAGCCTTGTCGGCTTCCCACTCCTTTCTTCTTTGCGCGAGGACGGTCTCCTCAACATCAAGATCCAGAACACGCTTCACGGCGTCAATAGTGATAACATCACCATCCTTGACCAGACCAATGGGGCCACCGACGGCGGCTTCAGGAACAATGTGTCCGATCAGGAAACCGTGAGAACCACCGGAGAAACGGCCATCGGTGATCAGGGCGCAGGACTGTCCGAGGCCGGCACCCATCAGGGCAGAAGAGGGCTTCAGCATTTCTACTCGTCGCAATTCGTTAGCATTACTGGTACACGTGCACAGTGTAGGAGAACATTTTGCTGTAGCGACTTACCGGGCATGCCAGGTCCTCCCTTAGGACCAGTGTAGCGGATGACAACGACGGTCTTCTCCTCCTTCTTGATCTCGTTACGCTCGAGAGCAGCAATGAAATCATCCTCATCATCAAAGACGCGAGCCTTTCCAGTGAAGACGGTTCCTTCCTTACCAGTGATCTTGCCGACACTGCCACCAGGGGCCAATGAGCCCCTCAAGATCTGGATATGGCCAGTCTCCTTGATGGGGTTGGACAGGGGACGGATGATCTTCTGATCCTCAGGGAAGTCCGGCACATTCTCCAAGTTCTTGGCCAGGGTCTGACCGGTGACAGTCATGCCAGAGCCATCGATGAGACCTTCCTTCAGCAAGAACTTAAGCAGAGAGGGAGTACCACCGATCTTGTGCAGGTCAGCCATGACGTACTTGCCGGAAGGCTTGAGGTCCGCCAAGAAAGGAATGCGATCGGAAACGGACTGGAAGTCCTCAATATCCAGCTTGATACCAACAGAGTCCGCAATGGCAATCAAGTGAAGAACGGCGTTGGTGGAGCCACCAGTGATGTTGACCAAAACCATGGCGTTCTCGAAAGCCTGGCGAGTCAGGATATCCGAAGGACGAATGTCTTCCTTGAGCAGAGTCTTGATGGCCTCACCAGCCGCAAGACATTCAAGGTACTTAGCGTCAGACTCGGCGGGGTTGGAAGACGATCCAGGAAGGGTCATGCCCATGACTTCGATAGCAGTGGCCATGGTGTTGGCAGTGTACATACCACCGCAGGCACCACCTCCAGGGCAGGCGTTGCGGATAATGTCGAATCTCTGGGGCTCGGTGATTTCCTTGCTGATGAACTGACCATAGGCCTGGAAGGCGGAGACGATATCAATGTCGGCGTTACCCTGCATGGAGGCGCAGCCAGGCTTGATGGTACCACCGTAGACCATCAAACTGGGGCGGTTCACACGTCCCATTGCCATCAACACACCAGGCATGTTCTTGTCACAGCCGGGAATGCTGATGTTAGCGTCATACCATTGACCACCCATAACGGTCTCGATAGAATCGGCGATCAGATCACGACTCTGGAGAGAGAAGCGCATTCCCTTGGTACCCATACTGATAGCATCACTGACACCGACAGTGTTGAACTGGAATCCGACCAAACCAGCCTTCTGGACACCCTCGCGGACACGGTTGTTGAGATCGAGCAGATGCATGTTGCAGGGGTTTCCATTGTACCAGACAGACGAAATACCGACTTGGGCCTTGTTCATGTCCGCCTCAGTGAGGCCAGCGGCATACAGCATAGCCTGGGAAGCACCCTGGGAAATGGGCTGGGTAATGTGGCGGGAGACCTTGTTGAGGCCAGTAAACTCGTCATCGTTACCGTTCTGTTGCTTCGGCAGAGTGGTGGACAGAGGGCGACTAAATGTATGAAACTAATATCAGCCTGTATTCTGAAGCAATTGAAGGACACAAGTCATGTTCTAGGCCGTTATCCATACCTGTTCAGCAAAGAGCGCTTGGCGATGCTCCGGAGAGCGGAGGGCATACGCCCCCGGGTTTGGGAAAGAAGCATTGCCGTCCTAGTGCGCGTGGATCGCGGGACAGTGTGACAGGAAAGGGTGCAGCAGCGGGGTGAATGCGTTCAAACTGACACAGAGACCTTCAAAACCCTTGACCACAACAAGAGGAAGGGATTAAGTAGACCCGACCGAGGAAAGTGACTCCAAGTAGCAAAAATGGGCCGGGGTCCTCCGCAGCGAAGTCGGGGCCGGAGTTGGACAGCGACTCCGCGCCGCCCAATGTACGGCCATGGATTGTCAGCAAATCAGCATCTCGGCCCCGCTGAATAATAGCGGGTGCTCCCCGTGACTTGCTGGGCTCCAGAGAGCTACCCTAAGCTGGACTAGCGCGGTCGCTTTCTGGTTTCGCCGATCCCGAAGCTGCACTACTGTTTGGCCCGGGCACCATAGTTTACTGCATATTATTACCGCTTATCTGACCGCTAAAAGCGGCAGAACCTCGTCGACCTCGCTGAGAAAATCGCGGAATCGACGGATATAGACGGATATAATTTTGAACAACCCCCGGAACAATGAGTC